TAGCTTCCTGTTAGAAATATAACACTGTCAAAAGTGTTAATTTAACACTCAAAAGAGTGGACACATATAGACACTTTCTAGTGTCAATTTAACACTGGAGATTTTGCAGTGTACGATTGCAAACCTCCCCACAAAACAAACAATTAATTATTATATTCCATAACTATAAGGTCAAACAGGACTGCAAATTTTTATTTTCATTTTTTTTCATAAATTGCCTTTTTTTTAAAAAATTGTATCCAAGCAAGGACAAAATGTCAGCACAATATTCAGCTTTTAATTAGTTGGAATTTGTTGCACAAAATGATGAAAATATGACAGTGAAAGGGAAAAATTTGCATAGACAAACTAACCCTCACTCTAGATACAGTCTAATCTCAACAAGTGTGATCTCTAGTTCTCAGCAATGATTACTCCAAACTAGAAGCCAAAGCTTCATTTTTACCAGTTTACCAGCAAAAACTAAAAAAAAAAAAAAAAAGGCATGGTAGAATGATTCCACCAATACCAGTTTCCATACCTATCGCTATCATCATTCATTAAGAAGTAGTTCTGGAGTAATTTTCACAAACTTTGTTGTTGGTAATGCTTCAAAAATATCATATATACGAGATAAGAGATTCCTGCTGATATCTTGGCATACATGCTCATACTTCCAAATCTCAACTGGCAATTATGTGATAATGCATTGCAGAAGAGCAAGTAACAAATACACAAATACATGTAGAACAACACCTTATATCTATTAGCAGATATATTTTAGTTGTGTAAAGCTGCATCTTTGATGTTGTTAGTGACCCAAAATATATTTGAAGAGTCAGTTACTTGTTGTTGTTTTTTTAATTTGTTTGTTTGGGTGATTTGTTTAATAGGTGGCTCCATATTGTAATGATTTATGCATTTGAATGTAAAAGGTTTGTAGTTCACATCCACAAATCCCATTTGGGTATCCAGCATAAACTCAAACGCAGCTACCTGCTGTGGTGACCCCTTGTATCGAGGGAGAAGCCTAAAGTGGCCTCTTCTTAATTAATTAATAATTTAGGATACATTTTGACATGAAATATTAGGCACACACATTTATTGCAAATCACATTAACTAATGTTAGGTTAAACCTTAATAACACTTGTGTTTCATATCAAGATGTCTGCTGTTAAAAACATAGCAAAGTCAGACACACACACAAAAACGTGTCTTTTTTTTTCAGTTGACAAGACCTGCAGTTATAATGAGAAGATATACAAGGTATGCTGCATTGAATTTTATTGTAATGTCTCTTTGTACTAAATTGATTGAAATTGTTAATCATTGTCAACCATTGTCTGATTCTTCATTTTAAATTAAAAATGTTCTTTGTGCATGTAGGTGGGAGATCAGTGGACAGATCCTGCCCATCCCTGCAGGTCACTGAAGTGCAGTAAAGACGGCATTCAGACTGAGACCAAAGTCTGCTCCAATGAAAGCTGCTCTGAGGTAAAAATGTTCAAGTAAACTGTAAAATCTTAGATTGATTTTCTACAATAATAAGCTCATATCGGTGAAGCTTTACACAGTACTTACATTTATTTGCAGAGCTTTTCAAAGCTAAAGTGTTAGAATTTATTTATATTCAATATTTAAATGTCACATAATAACAATAGAAGAACACTGTCAGAACAAGCACTGTGAGAAAGAAAGACTTACCCTTAAAAGATGCTTAGAAACTACAATTAAATACCGTGTGAACAAGCGCAAGAATTAAAGTTTACAACTTGTGGGGCTTTTTCTCTAGGAGGACAGAATCTGGGATGACCAACACTGCTGCTTTACATGTAAGTCAGACCCTAAATCTAACATTTCACATAGAAATGAAAGCTATAATTTATTTATTTTAATTTCACACTCTTTACATTGTTCCACCTCTACTTTGTTACTTCAAACTTCAGGTAACCAGGGCTGTGCTGCTAGGATGTCCACCCTCAACATCACCGTAGATAACTGCACCACTGTCATGCAGATGCCTGTGTGTCAGGGGAAATGTGAATCTCAGCCAAGGTGAGATGAGCAATAGTGATGATGCAAA